TTCATTCCAGTCTCCCTTACCTTTGTCGCTGATGTTATTCTGTATAGGTATACATACGTACATAGCGAGGTATCACCGATCAACCAGAAACGAGTCCGCATAGATCGTAGCAAGCAGTAGAACAACAATGAACGGTCCTCAGTTAAATTCGAACTCAAAAGAAATATTAAAATTAATCTGTCATTGCTTAGAATTAACAAGTGTCCTCCAACACGCCGAAGTAACTAAAATTTGGAATATTAGTGCCGAATGAGTACAGATAGGGTGAACTCGCTCAGTGGCTACAAAATTGGAGATGAAGTGGCAAATAAAATCTTAAGCATAGCATAATTAATGTGCGGTTTTTCATGGTGGTAGATTAGGTTGACTTACAAGGTATCTTCGAAATGTCTGTTAATACTTTGCAGTTTCTGTGTTCTCATTCGTCTGTCCGAACAAATGGCTTTATGAATGTCGTTACCTTTGAAATAGGGTATTTTTTGAAAGTTATTATCATATCGGGTCATATTTGTAGTCATATCTAAACACGAAACCTGTTTGCTCGAAAATACGAACGTTCAAAAAGACGAGCTGCAATTAAAACATGCTCTTGGTAAACAGAAAAACCTTTTCCATTAAGTTGCCTCTTTAACAAAAATAATTCAGTTGATTATTTCGATCCCTTTCCGAGGTAGAGTCGACGAAAATGTAAAGCGTTTGGCCAGCCTTTCCAACTCTCCGAATAGCACTGAAAGGACTCATATTCCTCTGTATATTGGGGCCAAATTTTCTCTGTGTAGTTTTAGGCTTCGTTCTGCAGTTATAAGTGAACCATAGAGTAGCCGCATAAATGTAAACACATTTGTTATAATTGCTAATGGCTTGCCCATTTCGTTTCTAACCTTGGTATTAGCAAAAACCAGCCCGTAGAGGAAGGATCTTACTGAATGCCCAACACTTAAACTTGCCGCATGGTGGTAGACCGTTCCCCTGCTACTTACGGAATACTCGCAAATCCTAGGAAAAAAATGAGTATGCTACAACGAGGAATTGTTTTCAGGCTTTATTGGTTGGTAGGGCACGAAGTCAAACAGATTTATAAATATACATTTTTGACACTGGTACACATTCTGCTTTTCAAAACCTAACGTGCTTTTTCTTACCTGACTCATGCTTGTTGAAAGCAATTTTCAAGAGCGTAAAGGTTCGTTTGAAACAGTGACCCAGTTTCGATTACGTCTGTCCCATAGAAAAACACGCGCTGATGCGTAAACTCGGCCTTGGATAGCTACTAACGTATGCAATTGACTAAATTTAAAGCAACTTTGATTTCCGCTCTAGTTTGTAAACGGAAGTGTATGC